TCACTGCGTGAGGCCACGGCCAAAACGGCCCCGAGCTGCTGCTGTCCAACAGCTGCTAAGGGATGCTGGAAGGGGGTCTCATCGCACATCCTTGGGCGCTTCCAGTGCCATTTCTGCCGGCAGCCGTAGCGGTGAGGGCACAGCACTCTGCAGCAGGATCAGCTCCCCTACAGCCTCCACAGAGGAGGCTGTGCCACACCAGCCTCCAGATGACAGCAGGAGGGAGATGAGACCGCAGGCAGCGCCCCGGGAGGAGCGGAGCCTGTTACAGGGATAACCATGCATGACAGCAGCTTCCCAAATACAGATGAGTTTAATGTCCACAGGGACATGACAGAGCGTTGGCTCCCCAGCCACAGCCAGCTGCTTCTTGAAACTGCTGGCTCAAGAACACGTTTATTCTTGGGAAAAGAGCTCCCTGTCATGGTATTCATCATTTGTATGAGGGTAGTTGCTTACAGAGTAACACACCGGCCTGACTGCTATGGAGAACACAAAAAAAAAAAAACAAAAAAAAAACACACAAAACAGACAGGCAGTGAAAATAGCATTAGACATGCAAACCATTTCATTGCTTGTCATGGTGACTGCTCCCTGCAGTGGCTGCAATGGGACTACTCCACGCATAAAGCTACACCCCGTATAACTGCTTAGCATGTGGAAGCCTGGGGCAGAGTAACAGGAACGTGGTCTAATTACAGAGACTTTGCCGCAGCTTCTTGGGGAAGGCTCCGCTGAGAGGGAGGCAACGAGCAGAGCAACGTGCATGTACACAAAGAATTTAACTCCTGAGGTGAGGTTTTGGAATAACCTTCAAATCAGCGAACCTCAGAACTCCAAATGTAAGTTAACCACTATCAGACCTTCTCTCTGCTTTATGGACATCATATTTTTGTTGAAACTACAAAACTGACTGTTATGAATCCTCAATTTTCTGCTAAACATTGGATGTCCAGATAGCCTTCAAAATACAAACGGAAGGAATTGAACCATCTCCCGTTCCTGAGCCTGCAGGCTGACGGAGCTGCTGGTCTGAGTCCTGGACTGTCCTATTCAGCGAGCCTGGGAGATGCTGGAAGTGCTAAGATCTTCTCTTTTGGTCATCCACACAAGCAGAGCAGCCCAGCCAAGCACCGTCTGTTCAGGCTGCTTCTCCCTCCCCATGCACCGCGAGCCTCAGCCCCGTTCCCTGACACCTCCAGACTGCGGCTGTAAAGCGACCCCAGGGCTCACACAGCTGGCAGAGGGCAGGGCTGTGCGAAGCCAGCAGGACCAGGGTCACCTCCTGCTTCCCTGCAGTTAAAGCTGCCCAGGACCACGCTGACCAGCAGGGCTCTGCTGCAGCCTCCAGGTCCTGCCCTCCCTTACGCTGCCTCTCCAAGCTCAGCACACACCAAGCTGAGGCTTCCAGCACTACAAGGTGACAAATCTGTCCGAGGGTCAGACACCGTGGGCAGCTGGCAGTTCCCTTTATCCACAAAATCCTCTTGTGCTCATTTGCAGTTTTTTCTTGGCCAGGCGAGGAACTCGGGCGTATCCTGGATGCTGCCTCAGTTGGTACTGAGCATTTGTAGGTGTAAGCTAACTTCCTTTACTGCTCAGAGGCCTCTAGGAGCTTCCCCCTTGTTCTGGTGCCCTTATTGCACTCTCAGACAAGTCTCTCAATTCGTTTCCAGCCGCAGGACAGCTCAGGGCAGAGCTCACAGCACGGGACGTGCCCACGGAGGCAGGAACATCACGCTGGGGAGTGCATCACCCACGCAAGCACCAGGGGCTCACCCGGTGCCTGGGCTGAAGGGGCAGCGGGCACAGCCCTGGGCGTGCTGGGGGCACACAGACACTCAGGCACTAAAACCAACTGCAGTTTGACAGGGAACAACGGCACATCCTGTGCTTTAGAAGGAAGGACAGTGTGGTAGTCACCAGTGACTCCCCAAGGAAAGGCAGATAAACTTGCCAGAACCTGACATGTCCACGGTGGGACAGACTTGTGGTGTGTCATAAGGACACTGTCAGCCTCCATTGCCCAAGGTGGTCCTTACTGCCAGCTACCAGGGTCCCAGACCTGAAAGAGAACTGAAGATATGCAAGGAATACATACACCAGATATAAGTAATGCCACACTGTTAACAGAAGAAATGGTTAATAGTCACTTCCACCTACCCTTCTACCTTTAATAGCAGTCAAGTTAATTTAATAGTAGTCAAATTAAAATCTACATTAAGAAAAAAAAACAATTAGGAAGTTATCAACAAAAGTTAATGCACATCAGGTATTAGGTGCAGCTTAAAGAAAGTTCAGTCACTGAGCTCGTGCTTCAGACAAACATTAAGATGTACAGAGTCACAAATTGGAGTCACACAAACAATGCTGGCAGCATAGCACAAAACAACCGAAACAAGCCTTGAACTCAGTTTGCAACAGTAGATGTGTAGGAAGACTTCGGTTCTGTAATTTCTACATAAACTTTGACTGCAGAGTTAAAGCAATGACAAACAGCACAGCTTTTCCTAAAGGTTACCAGGAAAACAGAACAGACTGCAGAGAGCTGGTGCAACAGGCTTCCCAACACCGCACCACCCAACATGCAGAAAGCTGCATTTTGCACTAACTTCAGCCTCTGAACACTGTCCCGAGACAGATCCTGGACACAGTGCTTACGGTTGACTAACCTCAAGGCAGAAAAAGCCAAATGCGTTGGACACACACAACAGAACTGGTAGCCTTTAGGTACCATCTCCATTTCACACATGGAAAAACTAAGGTGAGGAAGTTGCTGCAAGACCAGCCCTTAGCTGTATTAACAGCGGTTGGACTAAATGATAAGCCTCTCTTCCCAACCCTGCTGGACTACCCAAAGCCATTCTCAGAAGTGAATGAGAAAGCAAGGAACACTGAGACGGGTATTTCCTTATTTCATTACACATGAAAAATGAAACTCAACCGTATTAAAAACTAACAGCTTATAGTTCAGGAAAGGAAGTGTTATATGTGAAATGTAAACAATTGATAAAAGTCACTGTAAGGAGATGCTGGTATAAACACTTCAATAGCTGTCTTTTTAAAAAAAAAATAATAGGCATTTCCATTGAAAGGAAAAGTCTCTAGTTACTCTACCTGGTACACAGCTGCAAGCAGTCAGCCTTCTTAGTGCACCCAGTTAATATCAGAGAGGGTCAGGAAGAAATTCCTGCGAATGTGGGTGGTGATCCCCCCCCCCCCATGCTCTGCAGCTCTGTACAGCACGGAGCAGGGCAGCCTCCTGATCTGCCACAACACAACCCACCAGCACAGCACAAGGGGAAGGCAGCCTGTGGCTCCTGAGGGCCGGTGACACCGTAACCTGCTACCTTGTTCCAGCAAGGCTGAAAAACTTTTACAAGGAGAATGGAAAACAATGCTGTCTGTGAAGGTGGGATCGGGTTAAATAATCAGGGCAAATGCTCAGGGCCACGGTGACAATTAAAGCAGCCAAGTCATTTATTTATCCCCTGACCAGAGAATCCATCCTCCAGCCCTGCCGAGGAAGCTCACAAACCAGCTCTTACCCACTCTTTTCATCTCACACCTCTCTACCAGAGCAGCACATCACTAGCGCTGGAAATCAGCTAAGCAGACCATAGAGCTACTGCAGAGATGAAAAATTTCAATGCTTTCTGTAAGCGAAAACGTGTGCACCGTATACTCCAGGAGAGGAGTTGCACCCACACTCTAGCCCTTTTCTTGTAGCATGATTTTAAAGATGAAAAAGCAGCTGCTTGCCATATTCCGTGCTTGATCTTCTTCTACCGATTTTGAATAAAACCAAACCCATCTATATGCAAGTCTCTAGCCTCTTCCAGCAAATTTTCTACACGTATTTTTCAAGGCAAAGCTTTCCTGCAGAAAAACAAACAGTAAAAAGAAAAAAGACCACGTCTGAAATTACTGTATTAATATAAATAAAATAACGTTAGTCAACCTTTTATTCTTTCCCCATGTTGGTACAGAATACTAAAAACACTCTCAGAAACTAACATACTTTCAGAGTGCTGATCTCCACTTTACTGAAGTCCCTCAAGAAAATCCCTCAGCATTTGAACAAAGCCAAGTGGATGCTACACCAAGTATTATGAGGGCTTGGCTTCCACAATTTCTGTAAGAAGTTGCCTAGAGTTCCTCAGATTTGCATGCAGTTCTCATGAAAACTGTGTACACTAATGAAGAGCATCCAGGTAACCCATGCAGCAACCAACTTGCAGCCCTGGTATAATTCCTTCTTAATTTTCAGAACACACATGCAGCAAAGATGCAGAACTTCATCTGCTTAACCACAGACTGCTTCTTGGAAAGAAATTAGTATGGGTTTCTTCTGACCATAAACTGGAGAACCACGGTAATTCGCAAGCTACACTACCATGCTACATTCTTTTTAGCTTAAGACTAAAAAGAAAAAAAAAGGAGAAAAAAAAAAGCCGGGGGGGAAGAGAAACCAAAACACAAGCAACAAAACCCCGAGCCCTCACAATTCATTGATTTGCTAAACCTGCCAAGGCAATTAACGCTTCCTTACTGCAGTTCAGGGTTTTCTAGTAGTCAGAACTTTTAAGATTCCCTAAAAACGTTACGCTATCAACATTCAGAGGTTTTTCCAGGAATAGAATTAAACCTTGTCAGCGGAAAACAACTTTCTGACGTGGAACTTGTTGAATAAAGAGTACATCTCATTTGCGAGGTGCAGCACGCAGCGCGCACCAGAGCGGGCATCGCCGGCCACTTCAGCACCCGCAGCAGCCGCCGGCACAGCTCCCGCTCCTGCTCCTGCTCCTTTCGGCAGCTCCGGACCCGTTGGGACGTGCCCAGCACCGGGCGCTGCGCTGTGCCCCGGGCAGGGCCGCGACACCTCCCGCGGCTCCTGCCCCTCGGCCACGGCCCCGCACCGAGGGAGCTGCAGCCGCGCGCCCCTCGCCCGCCGGGACCCTCGGGGGCCCCGGGACCTCCCCCCCCCCCCCGGCCCTCACCTGTACCACTCGAGCCCCTTCTCGTAGTTCCTGTCGAAGAAGTGGGGCTCGGTGCCCACGGCGCGCACGTCGGGGTGCGCGCGGATGGCCTCCAGCAGCGCCCGTGTGCCGCCCTTCTTCACCCCGATGATGAGGGCTTGCGGCAGCCGCTTCTCGCCGTAGTCCGGCGTGGTGCTGCTGCTGCCGCCGCGGCTGCCCGGGCTGCCGGCCCGGCTCAGCTCCTCGTCCGTGGTGCTGGACTCCTGCGGGTCCCTCTCGAAGGCTCCGCTCTGCGCCGCGATCGCCTCCCCGGGGGCCAGCGGCGTCCGCGGCCAGGCGCCCGCCGCCGCCGCTTCCCGGCTGCCGTTGGCGGCTCGCGTCGGGGCGGCGGAGGCGGCGGGGGCGGCGGGGGCTCCGGTGCCGGCCCGAGGGCTGCCGGCGGAGCGCGGGGCCGCCGAGCCGGGCGGCGCGGCCGGGGAGCGCGGGGCCGCGGGGGCCGCCGTGCCGGGCAGCGCGGCCGGGGAGCGCAGGGCGGCCGGGCCGGCGCCCCCCATGAGGCTGTAGCACAGGTAGGTGAGGCAGAGCGAGAGGCTGCACATGCAGAGCAGCTTCCGCGCCGGGGGCACCTTAGAGCCGCGCCCGCCCGGCACCCCCGGCTGGGCGGGGGGGGACATGGCTGCTCCCCGCTCCTCGCCCCGGGCACCGGGCGCACATGGTGTCAGCCGCCGCCCGGCCGCCCCGGCCGCATGGGGCGCCGCCGCCCTCCCGCCCCGCCGCCGCCGCCGCCGCGGGGGGGGAGCCCCGCATGGCACGCTCGCCGCCGGCCCCCGCCGGGCACCGGGGCGCCGGGACTCAGCGCGGCCGCGCGCCGCCGCCGGCCCCGCACTGTTGCCGCCGAGTTGCGGCCGCGAAACTTTGTGCCGGGTGGGCGGCGAGATGCGCGCTCCCGCGTCGGGAGGGGAGGGGACGGCACGGCCCGCCCCCGGCCCCGCCGCCGCGCCGGGAGCGCGCCCGGCCCCGCCGAGCCGGGGGGGGGGGGGGCAGCGGCCGCTCGGCACCGGGGGCGCCGCCTCGAGCAGCTCGGTGGGTTCCCCCGGAGCCCCCGCCGCGTGCCTGCGCCCCCGGCCCCGGGGGGGTGCGTGCCGCCGGCCGGGAGGCAGCGCTGCTGTGCGCGCCCTCCTTGGCCTCGGCAGAGCCACGCCGCAGCCCCTGGCCCCTGCGTGCACCCCAGCGGGCCCCCCGAAACGCACTCCGTAGTGGCAGCCCCTCGGCCCGCTGCCCCCAGCCCACGGCCCCTGCCCGAGTCTCCCGGCTCCCCCACGGCTCCTCCGGGAAGCGCCTCTCCCGCACAGCCCCTCGCGGCTGGCCGCGGCCCCGGGCCCCGTCCCTCCGAGCAGAGCGCGGGGGCTCCGCGGGGACGGGCTGGCACCCGGGGAGAGGCGAGGGGAGGTGAGAGCCCACGGCAAGGGGCAGGCAGCAGCTGGTGTGCGGGTGCAGCACAGCCGAGGGCCCTGGGGGACACGGAGGACCCACGGTTTAGGTGCCAGGAGCTGCACCGCCCGGCGAGGCTGGCCGCAGCGCTCAGCCAGGTGTCCCCAGCCTTGGTGGCACAGGATGGGCCCGACAGAGCCTCCCTCCTCACAGCTTTTCCGGATCTGCCACCGTCTCTTCCCAGCTGAGCATTTCAGCACTTCCCACCTCCAGTTCTCAGCTTTGGCTTCAGCAAGGATTTTGTGAGGGGAAGAAATGCATTAATGTCTCTCAGCCCTCTCCTGCCCCTTATTCTGGGGTCTTCTGGGTGTCTCCCTCACAGATATTGCACTAGGGCATTGGGCACCTTGCAGCTCTTGGCGTGTGGACCATCTCGGCCCCTCTCCGCAGGGCAGTGCTGGTATTGCCGTGGTACAGAGGTCAACGGAGGTACCCGGTCATTTGCTGAAGCCCTCACAGGTGAACGAGCAGAAATGTAACCCCCTGCACCTGCTGTCCCCAAAGCACCAGCACCATCCAGATGCTGCAGATTACCAGCAGAGCCAGCACCTGATCTGGGTGACAAAAGCTGTGGAGATGCTGCATGTTAACCCTCCTACACAAGGGCCACAGCTGGGCTTCTGAGCAAGTGTTAGGGAAGTGCAGACTCCAGCAGGGTACATTTCTAGCCTCATGTGGCTGTGAGTTCTGGGTACCTCATCCTGCCAGCGAGCAGAAGGCGTGCTTGGAGGCAGTGACCCTTCTCCACCGATCTCCATGTGGGGATCTGCAGAGCTGCGCGTCCCGCTGTGCAGGGGAGCTCTGGGCACAGGCGGGCTGGGCTAGAGCCGGCTGAATTCCCTTGTGCTTCCCCAGCTGATGAGCTGTGGCCTGGATTTTGCAGGGGAAGTCCAGGGTTTGCTCTAAATCTTGCTGTTGCTTTGTGAAGCTCAGCAGGGAACACCTCAGAGCAACACACCATTGGAGTCTCAGCTGTGCTTGATCTCATGGCAAAAGCAACATTTGAAAAAAAATATTGAGTGCCAATATTAACTAGATACTGAGTGCTGGGAAAAAATATTCATCAAATAAGATGAAGAGCAGACTTTCCCCATAATGAACAAAAGCTCAATGCTGCTCTCAGCTGGACATGTGTTCTCTCTGTGCAGTTCCAGTTCCGATAGAGATTATTCCTTTATAATATATTTTTTATGGTACACATGAGACCTCTGAAATGCAGCGTCTTGTGTCCTGTAAATCATTTCCTGTAACTAGTGGATTCCTTTTCAACTGCATTACAGTAATGTGAATGTTAAGGGACTAACCTGAGCTGGCAGCAGCAAAGTCTCACATCTCCCCCTCCCAGCCTCCTCCCCTCGTTCTGCCAGGCAGCCAGCGGCCGGTGCCCTGGGCTGCCCCCGAGCTCCACAGAGCCAAGCGGGGAGGTGCACGGTCCCCACCTGGGACAGGCAGAGCCCACGGAAAGGTTCCTGTGAATTTAATGATCAGACGTGAACCTGAAATGAGAACCCAGAGTAACTGCAGCTTGGGTCGCTGGGCAGGGGAGCACGTGCTGCAGCGCTGGGGACAGGCTCGTGTTCTCAGGAAGCCCTGGGCAGCACAGGTTCACTCTGCTGCTCTCTTCAGCTCATCTGTATGTTCTATATGTCACACGGCTGTTATAAATATAGATCTACCCTGAGAGGAATCCTCCTCATACAGGAGATACATTTGTCTCAAATTGGAGAATCCACCGAGCACCTAGTGAAGTCAGCAAGGCTGCTCTCAAGCTTGCCAATTCCTGCTCATGCCATTAGCCCTGCAGATTCAGGACTTTCCTTTATGACAACACATCTGTGTGAAAAACACACCAAACAACATTGGCTAACAGTAGATAACAAACCAGTTCAGTGGGGTGACCTATTCTCACTATGCAAGAGTGTTTCCCTTCCCTCTTTCCCTTCTTCTAAAAAAAAAAAAAAAAAAGTAACAACAAAAAACCTTTTCAATTCCAAAAATATAAGATGAACCTCAAAACAGACACCATTTAATGAAGTCACAGTGCTTTGGTCTTTCTTACACCAAGCACACATCTAAAACACAGTGCTTAGCAATATGCCCTGGTCTGACATCCTAGCGTCTCTGCTCCTGTGATGTGCTGCACAGAAGACTAATAGGATTTGCAGGCAAATCATACGTAACAGAAAGAATATTTCTTCTTGGGCACCAGCTTCCAGCCCAGAGGAAATTTTACAACCAGAATGTAAAGCCCTCTAAAACAAGTGGTTTAGCCTTAAATACCTGCTGCCTGGGCTCTGGCTCTTTTTATTCATCATAAAATGTGTATTTCTCCAGCATGGATGTCAAACGCATCCATGAGCAGATCTGAGTGTTATCCAAGCGTCTGCTGGTGTTTGGCGAGTGGATGCAATAGGAGCTGATGGAGTGTAACACTTTATTTGACAGTTCTGTTTTTAAAGGCTCGTGTATTTACACTGCATACCTGCACACTTCCATTCACATTCGTTAGCCACAGGAGTGTTTCCCAAGCGTTCAGAAGGATCCAGCCCAGCTGCTGCTGTTAGCCCCACCTGGGAGTCGCCAGGACAGGTCAGCGTCCACCTAGTTCCCTCCCCGTATTATGGCAGGGATGGAGACCGGTTGCTTTGGAGGCAGGCGGAGGAATCTGGTGGGCGGCCATGGAGCAGCCTCTGCTCAGGTGCGGTTTCCTTTCAGCCCCCCCGACAGGCTTTGTGTGACTCGTGGCTGCCCCAGCGGGACCTGCCTGTGGCGTTCACCTCCAGAGGCTGAGCGGCGCTGGGGCTCAGGCTGAGCTCTGGGTTGTGGGGACGTGTGGCAAGAAGTCCTGGCAGGCAGCTGGGAACGCTTCCCTGCACCAGCTGGGAGGGCTCGGCTCTGCACGTACTAAAGGCGAGACTCTAAGCAGAGCATTTTTTTCCCCACATAATAGACTGGGAAGCCCCTTTGGAGGTGTTGCTGTGTCTGCCATCAGCACAAGGGACCCGCGCCTGGTGGGTACCATGCAAGGCTGATGCCTGGCTCGTGAAGGGGAAGCAGGGAGTTTCGAGGAGCACTCCAAGGCAGGAAAGGGTGAGGTCTGGCTGGTGGTTAGTGTGGAATTGTCTACCATTCTCAGCACTTCTTCTCCAGGAAGATAAATCGGGAGTGGGATAGGGGAGAGCCAGACCCCAAGGACAACCTCCAGACCTGTGCGAGGGACCTGGGCACACTTAGCCACGTGAAAGGAAGGCTGGGGAGCATATGCCTGCTGTCTGAGTGCAGTGCACAAGCAGATGAACACCGAGGAAGGAGGAAAATGGCCTCAGATAACAGGCGGTGCTGGCACAAAAACAAATAGGTATGAATTGGCACAAATACATTTTGGCTGGAAATTAAATAGTTTCTAACTGTGGGAGAAATGTTGTTCTGGAACGGATTCCTGAGAGGAGTATTGGGGGCAAGACATGCAATTAGTTTTAAGATTGAGTTTGAAATGGACTTTATAACATGGTTGCCAGCAATTGCAGGGAAATGGGATTTGATGGCCCAAGCTGTCCCTTCCAGTTCTACGCTCCTGTTGTGATTCACAAGCCGAGAAGAAGACCTCTGACAAGAAAGGGCTCTTTAATCTACCAGATAAAGGCTTAACAAGGCTTGTTGATGGGAGGCTGGATGTAGACACATCTGAGTGAAGTGAGAAGCGTGCATTTTTAACAAGGACGGTAATTTACTTTTGTTATAATTTGTGAAGGGATATGGCAATTACCTGCCTTGGAATACTTCATTCTGAGGCTGGAAGAACTTTAAAGGAAATGATCCTGCTGGACTGAGCCATAAACTGGGGACGTGGTTCCTGCAGAAAAGTCTCTGGCCCGTGAATCTCTACACGCTGCTATCCCAATTACCGCTTCTGTTAATAAGTAAGCTTTTACAGATTATCACCTTTACTTCCAGGCTTTTGCAAACATTTTTTCAATACAATAGTTCCTAGAAATATATTTTTCAGAACACCTCAAAACTTCCATGATTTTTCTTCATTATTTACCTGTCAGCAGAAGCAGTGGAACACCTTGAAATGAGGTAGATTAATTCATACGGAGCTTTACCTCCCTCAGGGAATGAATGAAGTCTGTAAATATATACTGAATAGAAAATAAACAGTAAAAATGCAATGTCATTTAAACCCTAGTCCAAGAAGGCACTCAAGATGTTTTTTCGGTGGCATTCCACAATGTCAAAGCATTTTTCCATTCATGGAGACAGCTTCAGGTTTAGATTAAATGCCTGTTCTGACGGCATTTAGCACTTGCTCCTGTGGTCTAAACTGTAGATCCTAGGAACCTACATCCACCTTTGCCACCT